ATCCCAGGACCCTGGGATCATGACCTGAGTTGAAGGCAGACGCTTAACCAACTGACCCACCCAGGCGCCCCTGGTATCTACTTTTTAATTCATATCTCTGCTCACTAATAAGATCAATCTTAACTTTAATTTTTACTGTTCTAAAGTTTTAATTTTCTAAAGGTAATACATTTTCATTGTTCAAAATTTAAATAGTCCAAAGGCACACAGTGAAACACCTTTCTCTCACTAATTCCTCACCCCATCTCTCCAGAGGCAACCAACATTCCCATCTTCTGTGTGTCTTTCTAAAGATAGGCTATGCACATATAAGCAGATTCACAGGTATTCCTGTTTTCCTCCTTTTAAAATGGCAAGACAGTCAGTGGTTCTTTATCTTTGGGAATCTGATGAAAGCTGAAAATGGATATACGTACCCTCACACAGTATTACATGAATTTCCGGTGCTTATGTCTCTGCCCCCCATCTCAGGTTAAGCATCCCTGCTCCATAATCCCCTCTGGTTCTTGGAGGTAAATGTTGATGGTTCAGCACTCCCCCCACACACACACACATCCACACACAGGTGCAGTGGAGAGTTCTGGTACATGCTGACACCTCAGCTCATGCCGAGCTTCCTACCTCTAGTGCTCTATATTATTTTTGTGTCCAGGGCTTTCTCCATCACCCTGTAAGCTTGCTCAGAGCAGCCCCAAAGTGCAGGGGATTTAATGTTCCCAGGGACAACCCTTAACCAAGGAGGGGTGGTAGATTCTCTTTGCTACCGAGGGTGCCAGGGGACTAAGCCCCAGTTGACCACAGTGGTTACAGTGTGTTCATTAACACACTTTTTGGGCAGGGGGGCTTTCCTCTCTTCTCCATCCCACTTTGCCACTCTTTCGCTTGTACTTTCTGGGATTAACTTACAAATAAGCTCACTACACCCAAGTCCTTGTCTCTGGATCTGCTTTGGGGGGGATCTAAACCGAGAGAGGGTCTTTTTGGATCACATACCATCAGAATGTGGCCCAGAACTGTCCCTTTAGCCTGGACCCCAGAATGACCCACATAAGGAGCAGACCTGAGCCCAGCCAGCAGACTGGCAGCCTGAAGCAGAGGACCCTGATCAAACCCACTTCAGCCACTCGGTAGCCAACTTGAGGACTCATGAGCGTGAGAATAAATCTTTGCATGCCACTGAGATTGTGGAACGTAGCAAAATGGTGATTCAGCAGAAACTCACTAGGCTGACTCTGGCTCTTGCTGCCTCTCTCTGGCCTTTGTTTCTTTCCCCATCTCTGTCCTGCAAAGACAAGGCAGTGAGAGAGAGATTGGGGGCTTGAGAAATCAGACTGAGGACATTGACGCATGTGGCCTAAGATACTGGTCGTGAGGATGGACCCAGAATTACTAGGTGTAATTTACTAGACTTGGTGTCTGATGGGATATAGGAGATGTGTCAGAGGGAAAAACCAAGGATGACATGCAGGCTTCCATGCTCTAGGTTGCCAACACAGAGGAGGAGCAGAGTGGACTTCAAAAGCTCATCTTGCCCATCCCAGCACATGGTAGGTGCTCAATAAAAAATGAATGAACCATCATCTTTGGAGGGGAAACAGTGAATTCAGTTTGGCACGTGTGGACTCTTAAGGGGCAAATGTCCAAGAGATAAAAGAATGGACAGTAAGATGAGACATTTGAGTGATATGTGTGTTGAAGTCAGAAAAGACATGAGATCCCCAGGAAGAGAGGAAAAAGAGGACTGAGCAGCAAAGAAAGCTGCTTGAAGCCAAAGCACCGGTGGACCAAGACACCTTGGGTTTCTAGAAGCTCTTCACTTGGGTCCCATGAAGTACCCCAGTATCCTTGTGATAATTCCTCTTTAGGCTTCATCTAGCTTGTGGTGATTCCTGTTAACTTGCCATCAGACGAGTCTCATGTAATATCTATCCCCATTATTCACCAAGTCACCCAAGATGGTCACTTCATCAAACACATTTGATCATTCATCAAACACTAAACTAGTTGCCAGCTAAATGTTAATCACAATATGGGTCCATCCTAGAAGCTCCTTCCCTTTCCCCGTCCCTTCCATGGCTCAATCTGCCCCTGCCTCCCCCTTGATCTCCACTGTCACCCCTGCTGACCCACCCTCCACAGAGCAGGAAGACCAGTGTTTCTCAAGCACAACTGCTCAGGTTGCTTACCTGCTTAAGAACCCTCTGTGCCAAACCTGACTGGAAGAAATAACATACAGAGTAAAAATGCAGAGATGAAAATTATGAGGGAAGAGATGAGAACACATCTAAAAGGAAAAAATACCAGCAAAATACAATTTCCCTCCACGCCCTCAGGACAGAGCCCTCCTCATGCTGGCATTTGAGGTGCTCTGTGACCTAGCCCTCCACAACATCTTCAGCCTTGTGCCCTGCCGTTCCCCCCCGCACCGTGCGTGGCTTCTACAGAACAGAACAAAGCTGCAGGTGAGGCTCCATTCTTCCCTCCCTGTGGCCCTGCACACATTGCCATCCTGCTATCCACTTTTCAAGACTTAGCTCAGGGGTCACCTTCTCCAGGGAGCCCTCCGACTTCTCTGTGATCTTCAGTCACCCTGTGCTTTCCTCGGTCACTGTCCTAATCATACTGTGCTGCCCTTATGTGTCTGGCTCCCCTGCTGGCCTGTGAGTTCCTTGAGGGCAGGGACCAGGCATGACCCATGCTGTGTCCCCAGAGCTCAGCACAAGCCAGGCACAGATGAGGCCTCCTGGAATGTCTGCTGAGTCTGAGAGCTTTCTGGGTGCAGCTAACAGTGTAGACCACTGCAAGAGCAGGTAGATTGATGACTTTGGTGAGCAGTGTTGGGGGGGATGGGGTGGGGCCAGAGTGATGGTGTGGTTATGGGAGGTGAGGAAATGGAGGCACTGGGCAACCCCTTATATCTTACCTGCTCTTCTGTTTTTCCTCTCATCCTGCTCAGGGCACTTGTCAGTTTCTCCTCATCCAGACCCTCACTGAACATTCCCTTCTGGGGATGTGACTCCAGATCTCTTCCCCAGGAACCCCCCAATTTCCCAATGTCCCCAAACCCTCCAGGTATCCTGAACCTCTCCATCAGAGGCGCTATGGTCTGAATGTTTATGTCCCTCCAAAGTTCATATGTTGAAATCCTGATGTCTGCTGTGATGGCTTTAGAAGGTGGGGCCTTTAGGATATAATTAGTTCATGAGGGCTCTGGGATTACTGTTCTCATAAAAGAGACCCTGCAGAGCTCCCTAGCCCCTTCCACCATGTGAGGACATAGTGAGAAGGTGTCCGCTATGAGCCAGAAAGAAGGCCTTCACCTGACCATGCTGGCACCCCGATCTCAGATTTTCAGCCTCCAGAACTATGAGAAATAAATGTCTGTTGTTTATAAGTTAACTCAGTCTGTGGTATTTCATAGCAGCCTGAACAGACTAAGACAAAAGGTGCCCTGAAGCTGTTCCTAACGACTCCTAGAACTCCACCATCAGTACCCCAAATTTCCCCTTTAAAAAAAGTCTTTCCCTGCCCTGTACCCAGGAGGAGGGTGGTGTGCCCCTTACCTAGGCCTTCTCCAGGGAAGCTGGTGTCGGTCTCCAGTGATGGCCACCGGGGGAGGGGGAAGGCAGGTTTCTCCTTTATACTGTCAGTCCCCCACCCCTTGTACCCACACAGCTGCTCAGAAATGTGACACTCCCCCATCTATTTCTGGATGTCTCCTGAAGGCTTGGGAACACTAGCCTCTGCCCAGTCTGCCCTGGGCCAGTGTACCTCCCATAAAGAAGGGAACCTCTGAGGCCAGAGAGAAGGTGGGCTGAGGCATCGAGGATCCAGGCTAGAACAACTGTCTCCGCACTGGGTTTGGCCCTGTGCACAGCACCCCTGTCCTCAGTATCTTTTTACTTTGTGTTCCTTTTATGTGAGCATGGAGACTCACCTAACATGCAAGGAGAAATTTTCCCAGATTCAGGAGGCTGGGTCTGGCCAGCCCTGATTTGCTCTGTGATCTTGGAGGATTTTCTGCCTCACTCAGGGCTCCCCGGCTCAGTGACGAAATTTGACTCCATCTCTTGGGGCCTTTCTTGGAGTTCCACATTTGGGGATGGGAGAAGCACTTCCATGTGAGGAGAGGACAAAGCCCTGATCCCAGTGGATCTGGTACCGGGGACTTGTTTTAGCAGGCCTGGCTCTCCCAGACCCTATCTTCTGTTCCAACAACTGCAGGTGCTCAGGGTCCTCCAGGGTGAGAGGCAGTCAGGATAAACAGGCAAGATGTGGTTTTTCACAGTAATGGTAAACAGTAGAGAAATGGATTTTCTAATCTAGGTGAGCTTTGGGATGGTCCATCTCATTGGAAGGGGACTAGAGTACTTGTATAGAGGCTGTGTTTGCCTGATTTTTTGGGATGACACTTGTCCCATCTCCCTCCCCACATTTCTCCAAGCCCAGACACACAGTTTGTCTTTTTTGGTCTGTAGGAAGGATTTTTGGAGAAAGCAGGATTCTAGAAGAAGGAAATTCTTTATTTTGGCTGGCAGCCTGCGGGAATGGGGCAGTGGGGATGGGGCTAAATGAATGAGCCAAACCAGGATGGAGGCCCTGAGGTAAGTCTAACCTTCTATGCCCACCTCAGCTCCAGCAAGCAGCAGGAAGTATCTCTTAAATCCTGACATTTGGGACCCCCAACTCCCCTGACCACTTTGGAAGTAACCCTCCAACCCCCAGGGCTCAGGCTGCCAGAAAGCTGTCCCCAGAGCTGCTTACTGATTTCTCAACTGGTCCCTTCTCCCATTACTTCTGATTGGGCATCCAAAACTCAGAGCCAGGTTATTTATAGACAGGCCCACAGCAGGGGAGGGGGAAAGCTAGTGTTTATAAACATGGGGTCACCTGGGTCTAAGAGGTCCAGAGAGAGAGGGGCTGTGGAGGGAGACGGGCTTGCCCCTGAGGATGGGAGACAGAGAGCTGGTCCAACCCTACTGAAGGGAAGGGGGCGGGTGGGTGCACTCAGATGCTGGATCACGCGTGCCCCAATGCGTGGGCCATATGCAAATTGCATGCAAATCAGCGAGCGCACCAGCAGAGAGTTCTTGGTGGGCGGGACTCTCGTGGGCCTCCCGGGTCTAGTGGTCTGAGAGCTGGGGGTCCGCCAGGTCGGGGCCCACCGGAGGGAGAGGCCAAGTCTCACAAGTCCCTCCCCCCAACCCTGGTCTCGTTCGGAGCCAAAGCGAATTCTGGAGAAAGAACTCGCAGTCCTAAGGAAGGGGAGGTACGCCCCTCGGCCCCTTCCCGCGCCACTCCCGCTTCCCCACCCCGTGTCCGTTGTTGCAGAAGAGAGGTGTCGGGTTACCGCCGCGGGGGCTATAGTTAGCCGCGGGACTTTGTTGATCGGCTAGACTCCCGGGACAGCGCAGCACCCGCCGGGACTTAAGCCCCCCGCCGGCCAGAGCGGTCAGTGTTCCTTCCCGCCGTCGTCCCTGAAACTTCCAGGTGGGTCCCTGGCTCTCCGCCCCCTCCCCTCTCCAGGCGGAGCCAAATGACGGCTCCGCCTTTACCATCGCAAGAAGGCCCCCGAGCAGAAGACGCGGAGCATGGGGGCTAGTGGGAATCTGGGGAGCGGAGCCCTGGGGTTGTGCGGGGTACACAATGAAATCTAAGGCCCCGCCCACTCCCTTAGGCCCGCCCTTGGCCCCGCCCACACCCGCTTGGGCCGGATCCTGGACGAGACCCTTCACACCCCAGAGGAAGGGACCCTGGTCTTTGTCTCCCAGCCCATCGCCAGTGCTGCCCTCTTCATCTGGACCTCGCCCTCCCTTGAGTCGCCCCCAGGAAGGATGCTAGCGGCTTTGCTGATGGCTCTCAGCTACCTCGGCCTCCATGCCCTCTGGCAGGTAACTGGGAGAACCTACTACTGCCACAAGGGGAACAGGTCAGGGGCAGACCCGGAAGAGGTGGACTGGGAGGCTGACTCCTCAAAAATCTTCCCCACGTACTCTTCTCTAGGATCCCAGTCCTCTTAATCCTCTTCTTCTCAGGAACCTCCATCCCTAGAGGGAGCCCCAGGTTCCTACTATCTCTCCCAGAACCTCCACCTCCATACACTGGTCCTCTTAGGATCTTCCTTCATATCGTTCCTCCCCACGTCCTGTCTGCCACCGCAGGCTCAGCCCAGGCAAACTGGCTTGGGCTACCTGTGTGCTGCCCTCCTGCAACCCCTCCCAGACCAGGGCTTGACCTCCTCCACCCCCCCCCACCGCATGTTTTGGAATATGGGCTTCTAAAGCAGGAGAGGACTCAGGAGTCTCAGAGATTACAGTGTCTTGGTGTGCTGGCATGAAGGGGGAAGAGAATCTAAGGATGGGGACCGGGTCAGGTCATCAGACATTGGCTGTATATTTGTATATCACCTGTATCCTGAGTCTTAGAGCCAGAACAGCGCTTGGAAGTCATCTAGCGCCATTTCCTACCAGGTGCAGAACTTCTCTAATGACAAAATGACCCCTTCACACTGTACGGAAGTGAAGATCTATATGCTGTCCTCACAATATCCCTGTGAGGTTGGAAGTATCCTCAGTTTATACGTGGAGAACCTGAAACTCAGAAAAGTTAAGAGACTAGCCCAAGATCCCACAGCTAGTAGGCGGGGAAGTCACGATTTGAACCCACGTCTGTCTCACTCCAGTGCTGTGCTATTTAAGCCCTTGAGCTCTTGCCAAGTCGCATACACTAGATATTTGCTCCCAGAAACGAGATACTGATGTTTCTGGACTGATCTGCCACCAGGGCCCCTGTCCAGTGCTCTGAACGTCTCCCCTTTCCTATGCGGCTCCTCTCTTTCCTACATTTGTAGGCTCAGGCTGTTCCCATCCTGCCCCTGGGCCTGGCTCCAGACACCTTCGACGATGCTTATGTGGGCTGTGCCGAGGAGATGGAAGAGAAGGCGGTCCCTCTGCTGAAGGAGGAGATGGCCCACCACGCCCTGCTGCGGGAGTCCTGGGAGGCAGCCCGGGAGGCCTGGGAGCACAAGCGCCGAGGGCTCCCCCTGCCCCCTGGCTTCAAAGCGCAGCACGGAATCGCCGTCATGGTCTACACCAACTCATCTAACACTTTGTACTGGGAGCTGAACCAGGCGGTGCGGACCGGTGGCAGCTCCCAGGAGTTCTACATGAAGCACTTCCCCTTCAAGGCCCTGCATTTCTACCTCACCCGGGCCCTGCAGCTGCTGCAGGGCAGTGGGGGCTGCAGCAAGGGACCTGGAGAGGTGGTGTTCCGAGGCGTGGGCACCCTCCACTTTGAACCCAAGAGACTGGGGGACTCTGTCCGCTTGGGCCAGTTTGCTTCCAGCTCCCTGGATGAGGCAGTGGCCCGCAGATTTGGGAATGTCACCTTCTTCTCTCTAAGGACTTGCTTCGGGGCCCCTATCCAGGCCTTGTCTGTCTTTCCTGAGGAGCGTGAGGTGCTGATCCCCCCACATGAAGTCTTCTTGGTCACCAGGTTCTCCCAGGATGGAGCCCAGAGCCTGGTGACTCTCTGGAGCTATAATCAGACCTGCAGCCACTTTAACTGCGCCTATCTGGGTGGTGAGCCATGCATAAGGGAAGCAGGACCGGCAGGGTGGGGGAAATAAGCCAGGACGCCCCTTTGGGACACCGGCTTGGTTCATGGGGGAGTTGAGGGCTAGAAGTCAGCTGGAGTTGCTGTTCTCTGTGACAGGTTCAGCCAGCTCCTAGAAGGTCTTAGAAGTGTTTTCTGGAGCTATGAACATTCTCAAGTGATTCTGTGAATGCTCTCAAAATGTTCTATCCGCTGTACAGTCTAATTGACCACAAGAACCTGGTTGAGGTTGATAAGCAGAGGAAAGGGACAGGGGTGCTGCTTCAGATCTCAGGAGGCCCTGGGCTTAATGGGGTTGACAGGCCGTGTATATGGTGTTCCTAAGTGCTGAGGCAGGGACAGATGGAGGAGCAGCAGGGGCCAGGCCGGGAGCGGTGATGGATCAGCAATCTGGGGAGATTTCCCAGGGGCAGGAAGAGGAAAGAAAGCCAGAAGTCAGCGTTTAGAAGGGAAGTTGGATTGAGAAGGGGAATGGCCCACGCCAGGGCCTGGTGGGAAGGGAAGCTTGGGGTGTGAGGACCTATCCACGCGGAAGGCTCACAGTGCCGTCTGTTGCAGGGGAGAAGAGACGCGGCTGTGTGTCTGTACAAGGTGAGTAGCCCGCTGCCCCCTCCCTCAGCTGCTTCAATGCCCCCCAGCCCTGCTGACCCCTCACCTTCTTCTCTTCTCTCTCCAGCAGGAGGGCAGCCAGATTCTACCCCCAAGGGGGACTTCTCTCTGCTTTCCTGGAAGACCCTGCTCTTTGCCCCTGGGGGCTTCCAGCTCTCAGGAGCTGGGCCCTGAAAGCCCACTGTCTGCCACTAGGAGTCCTAGGAACTCATGATCTTCCATTGAAGAAGGGGGCTTCGAATGGCCTCGAAGCGGGAACGTGGTTTCGGACCCAGCCCTAGCAGCCATTTCCCCAGGGATGGGGACCTACCCAGCCATCTCCCCTCCCAACCAGGATGTGGGGGGATCTGAGGCCCTGGCAGGATGGAGGGAGCCCTGCTATGTGGTAGGGATTCCCCGGGACAAGCAAGGGTGGTACTATGAGGGCCACTCAATTAAACAGTATTGCAGTGTGGTGATATCACATTTCCTGACTGGTTTATTCCATGAGACTAGACCATCTACCCTGCTCTGGCCTTGTGAGACTCAAAGACTGAGGGACTAAAAGGATGACTTCTTGATCACTCCTAGACATGGTCCCCTGTGCAGACCCCTGTCACAAACCAGAACTTGCAAACCCAGGAGCTTTAACAGCCAGAGATTCCTCACAACCTCCCTGAAGGAAGGAAGGAAGGAAGGAAAGAAGGAAGGAAGGGGGACAGATGGATTCACTGGCCCATTTGTCAGATGAGGAATGCAAAGCCAAGGAAGGAAGCAACTTGCTCAAGGTCAAAGAGTTAGTATTGAAACCAGGTTCCCTTCTTCCCAGTCCAGAACTCTTTCCTTGAAAGATTTGAAAGAACTCAAAGTAGGAGCCTAAGCCCCAGACACCTGGGACCCCACAGCAAGACATTTCTCTCTGTCCTGCTCCCACAGGAGTCCATTTCAAGGGTGAGGGGAGGGAAATCTCGAAACCTGAAGAGACAGAGGTTCTTACACACTCTGGAGGCATCTGACATCCAGAACAGAAACTTTATTGAGGCAAGTAAAGCAGCAGAGTCTTCTAAATGACACTTACCCTCACCCATCTAGGTGGCTCTACCTAGCAACAGAAGAAGGGACCCTCCCACTTTATCAGGACCCCCCCTTGATCCCCAAATCTTTCTCCTGGGGCAAGTCCCCTGCTGTCTCTGATTCTTGCTCCCTGTGCACTAACACGTGAGCTGGGGAGGAAGGGCCAGACTCTCCAGAAGCTGGAGTCCTAGACCCTCCAGCATCCTTAAGCCCAGTTTCTGAAGGTATCTGGGTCCCCACAATCCCTGGCACTGTCAGCTCTGGGGTTTCAGGGATGGGGGGCCCAGATTCTGGAAGCTGTTATGCACTCGGGTGATATAGCGACTGAGGATGCGGGCACCTTCGGGTGTTCGGGGTGTCCCTCCCTCTGCCAGAGTCCTCTGCACACCAGCCACCTCGCTTTGTAGGCGAGACACAGTCTTGGTCAGCTCCGTCAGTCTGTTGCCCAGGTCTGGGGTTTGGGGGAAGTTGTTGATGGGGAGATCTCTCAGAAGATGAGCCTGCCCTGAACCACTTCTCCCCTCACAACAGAACCCCAGGGGACATCATGCCTATGGGTCCTGAGGGAGTAGAACTGGAGACAGTGAGAGACTGGTTCGCAGGCTGGGGGTCAGGAGCAGGCAGAGTCTGGGGCAGATGAATCTGAATGGGACTCAGATGGTCATGGGTTTAGAAGATACAAAGAAGGAAAGTTTTGTGGGCCAGAGAAGGGCTCAGGAGTCACAGGGATGGGCAAGTTTTTAGTGGGTAGAGATTTGGTCTCTGCCCTTGTCAGCCCTGTTCCCGTCTACCCATCCTCAGGGCCCAGTTGGAATTACACCTCTGCTTTCTCCAATTTCTGGTCCTCTATCCTACCTTTCCACCAGCCTCTCAAAATAATAGGTTCTCTATCTCCCTTGGGCTCCCATTGCAATTTGGTTCTCTCCTAACTAAGCCCTATCTGCCTACAAAGATGGTTTCTCTGTCTCACCAGACAGAAAGTTTCCCCCTCCCCGCCCCGTGTCTCTGCTCTACACATTCCCCCTCCCTCAAAGATAAGGCTGGAACAAAGGGGACGTGGTGATGAATGTTGATTGAATGAGTGAATTAGAGACTGAGTGAATGAACGAAAAATGAGTTAAGTGAGTGAGCCAATGGGTAAGAGAGTGAATGAGTCAACGAACACAGGGATGAAGGATTGAATGAAATGAGTGCAATAAATATCTGAATGGCTCAGAGTCATTGAGGAGGAAGGCCACACTGCAGGGTGCAAGCCTGGTGTGTGGTATTTATTCCCACAATGCAACGGGGAAGGCTTGGGGGTGAGCCACTAACCTTTCTGCCTGGTCTCCTCAAACTCCCGCTGGGCTGTCTCTATGTAGCGCTGTACCAGGGCCTTGATGACTCAGAGGCGGTAGGATCCGTTCTCTCCTTCCCCAGGCCCTGCCCCTGCCCCGGGATTGGCCTGGGATGGGAAGACCAGAGGGTGAGAGAGACTCTACCCACCCCGGCCATCCTGTAATCATTGTGTCCTCCCCCAGATGATAAAGGATGGAGGCCAAGTCTGCAGACGTTTCTGTCCTGGAGGCCACATAGCTAGACCCTGGTGCAGTCCTGGAAGGCAGAAGGAGGCCGAAGCTGAGCAAAGGCTGAGTGGAAGAGAGCTGGGGTGGGCGGGCGAGGGGTGGAGGGTGGTGCAGAGGGAGGTGGGGGGCAGAGACAAAAATGTTGAGTCAGGCACAGTTGAGTTCTCTCTCCTGCCACCAACCCTACCTTGGTTTTCTTGAGTTAGTCCAGGTTAAGCCTGCCCTTCAAACGCTGCAGAGGGGGAAAGTAGGGGATGTGGGGAGGCATCTGCATGGAAATCATCATGTGAATTGGAATGATTGATTTGGGGTCCAGGTATAGGCCCCGCAACAGTACCAAGAGGGCAAGCAGGACATACGGATGGGGCAGACAGTGGAGAGAGAACAGAGGTGTAGCAGGCAAAGGGCTAGACTGAGAAGCTTTGGCCCAAATCCCAGCTCAGTCACTTAGCAGCTCTGCGCCTCAGGCGAGTTATTCAATTTCTTCAGGCCTGAGAGTCTCCAAATTGAAGACAGAAGCGGTAGTAATGCCTACGTCTCAGGTCAATACTTCCCTGGCAGAGAGTAGGGGCTCTCTAAATGCTTAGGAAAGAATTACTTTTATCTTCTCTCTAAATATTTTATAGTTAGCATATTTACTCATAAAAAAAAAACCAAAGCATTTTATTAAATATTCTCAGGGGAAAGGTGGGATTGACCAAGCTGGGGCAGGCAGAAGTATGAGAGAGAATGATAGGCCTTTTACAGCTACAGAGTATATAAAGCATTTTCCTTGTATAAAATAAGGAATAAGAACTTAGGGAGGCCGTTTCCTGAGGATGCAGGACAGGGGGGAAGGGACATCTAATTGGATCAGAAGACACTAGCGAGGTGGGGGCAGCTGGGAGAAGGGTGGGACTCCAGTGGGCAAGATCCCAGCCAGCTAGTGTGGGGGGATCCGGCTGGACACAGTGGCTCTGCCCATCCAGGACTGGGCACAGGCCCCGAGAATTGGGCACAACCTCAGTTGAAGAAGCGGAGTCTCATCCTAGGGTAGAGCAGCCCTGACAGATGGTCTGCACATAGGCATCCGGCAGCCTGGACAGGAACAGGAAGTGACTGGGGGAAAAGGGTGGTAATTCCAGAATTTGGAGGCAGAGGTCCATTAGGGTGAAGGAGGTGTCCACATGGGATCGCCCAGAGCCAGGGAGTGGGGGGAATCCCGGGCGTTTTAGTGTCTGGTAAGCGTCCTGTTTTCCCCATGCTGAGCCCATGCAGTTTCCTGTGCCGAGAACTCCCCTCTCCACTATCTGCCCACCAACCTCCTGTTTACCCTTCAGGGTTCTGTTCTGCTCTCAAGGGCTCTGGGAAGCTCCCTGGTTCCTGAGTCTGGATCCGGGGCCTGTCCTCTGTGCTCCAGGAGCGCGCTGTGCTTCTCTCTACTGTGGGCTTGTCCCGGGCAATTACCGTCCGTTTCCTTCTGCTACGCTAGACTGGCAGCACCCAGAGGGACCACCGTTCTGCAGATCTTTATTTCCAGTAGAAGTGTTGGTAAGTGTTTGTTGAACAAACTATGGACCAATCAGGGGATCCAGGGACCTCAGAGCTCCAGAGTTGGCCTATGGCCCCCAAAGAGCTGGCCTGGAGTCCCTGGCTTAGAGAGATCCTCAGGTAACATGTTTTAAAGGGAACAGATAGGACCCCCTATGGACCTGGCCTTAACGCTGGTCTGAAATAGGCTGGGGCTCCCACTCCAAGCCTGGGTCAGGGAACAGATAGCGAGAGATAAGGGAGCCAGCCCTTTAGAGGCTCGGCCTCCTCTCTCAGGCCTCTATCAGCTGGTTAATCTCCCAGTTTGTGGGGCATTTTCCCTTGGTTTCTTTTTTTTTTTTTTTT